TTAATGAACATGGGATTGTGCTAAGAATACTCTGGAAGAGAGAGCAAATATGAGGAGAGTCATACCCTATAGAGAACAGTGTTTTGCTTGTACTTTTTTCACAGCAGATTGTGATATGGCTCTTCCTACTAAAGTCAGAACTAAGGGGTTATATTATCCTGTCAGGCTGATTGTTGACAATAAACTAAAATAAGATTATGGAATTTCTCCATGACCATTTTGGAGCCTGTTTATCTATATTGTGTTCACCTGTCTATTTTTTAGGGGGAATCCTAGTGTGGTGATGCTGGTTAAGGAACTGTACCACAAGGGTGGTTTGAACTTTAAAGTGTCGGCGCTTCAAACTCACCAGGGTCTCCTTGGACACCCGATACAGGGTCATTATGAGTAGGAATGAACTCAAAGGCACTTAACAACAACATTTTAATGGAGAGTGCTCCTTAGTGGTGCGATGGTTACGTACTCACAGCTAACCAAAAGGAAGAGAGTTTGAAGCCACAAGCCATTCCACGGGAGTAAGGATGTTATAGAGTAGTGGTTATGAATCGGGCTGTGAACCTTAAGGTCACCAGTTCGAAACTACCAGCGGCACCGCAGGAGAAAGATGAGGCTTTCTGCTCCCGTAAAGATTTACAGCCTCGGAAACCCTGTACAGGGTCGCTACTGACTCAATGGCACTTAACAACAACAATAGTTGTATGGAGTTCTGGTGTGGTGCTGTGGGCTATTGCGAAAACCCTATACAAGGTCACTGTGTGTTGGAACCGACTCGACAGAACTTAACAGCAATGAATGTATATACAGTTATGTCATCAATGTTTTAACTTAAAATCCATTCATGAAAAATGACATGACTAGGGAAAAGCTGTCTGATTAAATTAGAGGTTACTATGACCATGCAAATGGAGTGAAGATTTCTAAACCTTCATTTACTCATAGCAGACCTTTAGAATCTGACAATCATTATGTTTTACTCTACCATGGACAACAATTTCAAGAGGAATGGTATCTCATTCTTTGTCAAAAAGAACATTTACAGATCTTCATTGAAGTACCGTGCTTCTGTGTAAGGATAAAATCCATGTGCCTACAGGGAAGATCAGTGAAAACCACTTTTATTCAAACTGATGTACAAACCACTAATGCCAGTGATAATGAAATTGACGAATTCTACCCATATGTTCAGCCTGAAATTGATGAATATGTAATCTAGATGAACTGATGTTTGTATTGATGTGCTGGTGAGTGGAATGTGAGGATTGGAAACAAAGAGGAAGGAACAACAGTTAGAAAATATGGCCTTGGTGATAGAATATTCTAATATTGTTAGAATAGAACAAGGGGACACTGAATGGTTTAACATCAGGAAAGGATTATGTCCTTTCACTATACTTATTTAATCTGTATACTGAGCAAATAATCTGGGAAGCATTAGGATTGGACGGCAAGCTTTCTCATACTTTGGTTATGTTATCAGGAAGGACCAATCCCTGGAGGAGGACATCATACCTTATCAAGTGGATGGTCAGCAAAAGAGAGGATGACCCTGAAGGAGATGGATTGACATAGTGGCAGTAGCAATGGGAACATGTGTAACAATTGTGAGGCTGGCACATGAACAGTAATTATTTCATTCTATTGTACTCATAGGGGCTCTATGAGTCAGAGCAGACTTGAGATCACTGAACAACAAATACAATGGATTGCTTTATGAAGACGTATGCTTATAGTTGCATGTAGGAAGGCTCTACACATTAAGAAGACATTTAGATAGGTTTATACATTCAAATCTTAACTGATCACAAGGAGTTGTTTGTCTTTGTATATGAAAACATCCTTAGAGATATAGATATAAATATTGCCTCTGATGTACTCCATTTGTAATATATACAAAGGGGTACTTTGAAAACATAAATTATTTGAATCTGTTTATTCTCTAAAGAAAAATTATATCCCAATATTTCCTTGAAGTATTCTTAGGAAGGCTAATTGAAATTAAATATTTCTATGGGTCTATATATTAAATGGAGTCCTGGTGTGGTGCTGTGGGCTAATGCATCAGACTGCAAAGTCATTTGAACTGCAAGGCCAGTGGTTCAAACTCACTAGCCGCTCCTTGGAAACCTTACACAGGGTTGCTATGGGTCAGAGTTGACTCAACAGCAATTCACAACAACAAAATATATTTAAATAACCTCATACGCATATGAAAACTGGACAGTGAATAAGGAAAAGCATAGAAGAATTGATGCATTTGAGCTATGGTGTTGGAGGAGAATACTGAAAGGGCCATGGGCTGCCAAAAGAACTAATAGATCCATTTTGAAAGAAGTACAGCCAGAGTGCTGCTTGGAGGCCAAGATGGCCAAACTTCATCACTCATACTTCAGACATATTGTCAGGAGGGACCACTCACTGGAGAAGGATATCATGTTTGATAAGGTGGAGGGTAAGAGAAAAAGAGGAAGACAACCAATGAGATGGATTGGCCAAGTGGTAGCATCGATGGACTCAACTGTGGCAACAGTAGTGATGTTGGCCCAGGATTGGGCAGTGTTTCATTCTGCTGTGCATAAGGTCACTATGGGTTGATACTGACTCACCTAACAACAACAACAACAAATATATCTAAAAATAACTCAAAAATAGTGTTACCTTGTGCTATTTATCATCTATGTATCTATGTATCTATCTACCTGTCATTTTTGAATGACAGTAATTACTTGAAATAATTACAGGTTCAATGTATATAAAAATCATTACAATTTATTGAATGTTACGAGGAAAGCAATATATAAAACTGCCTTTGAATTTAAAAGGAAACATTTAGTATCTGTGCCCATATATCATAGTAAATGCATAAAAACGTTACATATTATACCTCAATCACTAGAAAATCACTAGGAAATTCCATGGGCTTACCTCTCTGTGCTTCTTCTAGTAAAATAATCAAAATTAAGAACCAAAACCATAGATCCTGATCACAATATAATGCATAATCATCATATCTGAGAAAATAAAGACAACAAAAATTAAGCAAATCTAACTTATTAAACAGTAGTTAATAACTCATTTAACTGAACTCATTAGACAAAAATATATACAAACAACTAAGAAATATCTTCTATACAAAAATAATCATTGATCTCTAGAGATACATGAATAGCAACACATTTATCTAAACATATGTGTCTTCAGACATAAAATGAATGTAATTATTTAGACAAAACCAGATACCGAGGTTTTCCTCTTGAATAGAATAATTTTAATTTCCTAGTGTTTCCATTATCATCACAACATGATAATAATTAAAAAAAAAAAAAAAAACAGAATCTCTAGGGCCCTAAATGAAAGTTGAGGTAGTAATCACGAAGGGGAGGGATTTCAAGATTAGAAAAAAAGACACTTAGCTAGATTTAGATGACTGAAATTTAAAATCATCCTGCTACACCAAATCTTTTAGCAGTGACAATTCACCACCCTGGCACAGACACAAACACACACACACGTACAAACACAATTTCAGAAAATGTTTTTCTCATTGATGAGGAAAACATCAGCCAGTTGAAAGTATTATTACATCTATTGCTTACTTATCCAACACAGGATATACATTTCTGTTTTATATATTTAAAAAATCTATCACTCATCAAAACTTTAAATTTACTATAACAGTTCTTAACAAAAAAGCCGTTTGGACTACAAGGTCAGCAGTTCAAGCTCACCAACTGCTCCTTGGAAACCCTATACAGGGTTGCTATGGGTCAGAACTGACTCAACAGCACTTAACAACAACAACAATTAGGCTTATAATGCAAATTTTCTGTTCAAGGAAGGTAATTTGTATAACTATTTTATTGATGAATCTACTTCAGCACTTAAGAAAAGTGAAAATCAATGAAATACAAAAATATATGTTGAAATCATTTGTACATTTGTGCTTGCTATCCCTTCTAGTACCAAGTGAAAAAAATTTAAAGCCTGTTATATAATTTATATGATTCATATGGTACAGATTGGTTGATTGGTTTGTTATGTGCCATGAAGTAGGT